CTCATGTTTATTCTGTTCGTAGTGCCTAAAGCATTTGACTGCTAACCAGAAGGCTGGAGGTGCAAACCCACCAGTCACTCTTTGGAAAGAAGATGGGACAATTTACTTCCATAGTGATACCACCTTGGAAACCCAAGGAAGGGTCTATGTGAGTCAAATCCAAGTCAACAGCAGTGAGTTTATTTTTTTGGTATTTATCATCCCAATAAAGAAGCTGTGGAAGCACAGTGGTTGAAGTGCTCAGCAACAAACCAAAATGTTGGGGGTTCAAACCCACCAGCCATTCCATGGAAGAAAGAAGGGGCAGTCTCGTCTATAGAAATCCCAGCCTTGGAAACTCTATGGGGGAGTTCTACTCTGTCCTATAGGGTCACTATAAATTGGAATCAACTTGACAGCAGTGGGTTTTGGTTTGGATGATCCCAATATAATTATATATCTATTCTTGATATGTTAATTTATGTTGAAATGTCTCTACTTACCAATTCAGGGATGTCTTTTACTTTCAGAGGAACTTGGATTAAACCCAAATGAGTCCTGAAACTAAGAGAATCACCATTTTCATAATTTGGGTTGCGAAGATTAATTAATACCTTTAAAAACAAATCCAACAAAATTGGTTAGTTTCTTTGTATTATGTTTACTACAGGAATGCTTTTGGTGTAACAACACAAGGTAAAAACTATTTGGGGTTATGCATATACTTTAATTATATTCTAAAGTAGTATGAAGTTGTATTGGAATGTTAACATGGACTATTATAAATATTCTTTAAATTAGGGTGTTTTTAATATTTCTAACTGATAATCTACCAAATAAAACTCTAAAAAGGAAGAATTAAGTCAGAAATAAGAACATTTTGATAGTCAGGAAAAAATTAAAATTATTTGATTATAAATTATTACCAAGGAAAGTTAGAGAAAAATAAAATAGTGCTTGATTGTAATAGTTGCCAGGCAACATTTTTGAATAAACTCTACCTTTAAAAAAAAATAATCAACAAGACTTTTAGAAAGATGATGGAAGAACATTGCAGGCTATCTTGCTGAATGTAACTGACAAGAAATAAAAAGAAACTTTAGAATTAAAGCTAACAAGATAATTTCTAAAATTTTCAAAAAATAAGACAATAAAGAAGTGTTAAATATTTTAAATAATTGCATATCCTTTAACTTAGAAATCTCACTTCTATAATTGGTTCTATGTAACATGGTTCTAAGGAAATAACTGAAGATGTTTGCAAAGAAAGAAAGAGTGTTGATGAAGTACTGTTTATAATGGAAAACTATGAAACAAATATCCTGTCAGAGGGTATTACTTGAATAAATTATGGCTAATTCATATAATACAGTATAATATGCCCCCATTCATATAGGTAATGTTGGTAATGACACAAAAATTCCACAATATATTCTGAAGTTAAAAAAAAAAAA